CCCACAATGGCTGCGACGAGGCTCACCCTGCCCTCCAGCCAGGCTGGTCTGTGCCCGGGGCAACTGCAACTGCCAGTAACGGTCGCAGCCCTGGCCGGGGCCTCCGTCACCCCCCAGCCTGAGGGACTCTGCGGGGGTGTGTGTGTGTCACTACAGACACCCCCGAGGCTGCTTTTTGGCACATGATGTCCCACACATCAGGAAAATGTCATTTCTCTTTACTTTTTTGGTGCTGCTGTCTGTCCCCCTCAAAAAAATTCTCACTAAAGCTTTCCACCCGGCCCCAGTAACCCCCCACAGAACAAGTGTGAGCAAAGAACAAACTGCACTGGATGTTAAAAGTCACACACTCGATAAAAATAGTGGTATTATGCCATGTTTTAATTATCCCTGTGCCCACTTTCTACCAGCCACACACCTTTTTGCACATGGTAATTGGGCACACCCCTGCATTCAACAAGCACCAAGAGCCTTCTCCGCCCCCTTGCAAGCAAGCTGCTTTAAAATTATCTGATTAATATAATTAAACTCAACTTATATCTTTTTTCCTCAACCAAAACTCAGTTGGTCTGACCAGAAATTTTCCCTATAACCTTTCTGTAACTATGGCCAACACTTGTTTTTCATTTGCCCAACAAGCAATTTGTAGCCTCCAGCAATGCTGGTAAAGTCATGTGGCCACTATTCACTTGCCTGTCACAGACACACTGCTTCTAATTAAATTAACTGCTCTTTGATTAATAAATAAATAAATAAATAAAGATAGCTTTCTCTATTGCTATCCAAGTATCAGTCATTACTACTTAAATTTTCTTTTCATGCCTATACTGGTATCAAGATAAAATAACCTTGCCTCCTTTTTTTTTTTCTTTTTTCCTTTTTTTTTTTTCCCTTTTTTCTTTCTGTTGTTACTGGTTTTCATAGTACCTCCCAACTCATCTCAACAATCTCAGGAACACTTTGAGATATTTCTCCAGATATTTTTTTGTTTCTAAATGTCTAAATTCGTCAGTATTGATTCCTGAGAGCAGAAATTGAATGTTTTTCTCCAGCCAGTGAACAACCCCTAAATACAGTGCCCTGCTGAGGGGATGACAGAGATTCATGCAGGACCTCAGGGAGGGTGCAGTCAGGCCACAGGAGGCAGAAATGGAAGACGACAGTGATCTGGTTGAAATGGTTGATGTTCAGGGGGACACAGTGACACCTGGAGGGCTGAGCAAGAGCAGACACTTGTCTCCTGAGATGGTGCCTCTCTGGCAAGTCTCATCTTTCCTGAGGTCATGCAATGCTACCTATTTATTTCATGCCATGGCCCTGAAATTTAAGACTTTTCCAAGCTCTTTGTACTTCAGGTTAGTGAGATCACACTGGTCTATCTCTATCTGGAGGTCTCGCTTTTGTGGAGGACAGAAAGATAAAACTTCATTACAGAATTTTGCAGACATTACCCTAGTAAAGCTGAAAACACCGTAATCTTTTACAGCTCCTCCAGGGAGAAGGAGATTGTGTTGGTAGCGATGGTCCCTATGAGAAGCTTTGTGAAGCTCCCCTGGCTGCAAGGCAGACCTGCCTCCAGCCCAGCCTGAGCCAATTAGTGATAGGGAAACACCTCTTTAAATCCATATTTATAAGGGGAAGAACTGATTATCAAAGGCGAGAGCCATCAGGAGACCACTGGCCTGAACAAAAAGAGCACTGCTGACATGAGGAAAGAGGAGGAAGGGAGGAGACGGAGATCCTCAGATACCCAGTTTAGCACGGAGAAGAGTAAAGAAAGGAAAATGAGGGTTCCCTGCAGCCATGGAGGCTCAACAGCAGAGCACATACCCACATTTAGGCCATGGAGGACTCCATGTCAGCAGGATGCTGTGCCTGAGGACAGTTGTTGACTACATTGAGTGCTTGTAATGAGCAAGAAGACCTCAGAGCGGGGGGAGGAGGTGCGCTGGACTAGAGACGTGTCTGTAGCCCATGAAGATCCCCATGCTGGAAGCAGGAGCCGTGCCCAAAGAGGTCCATGACTCCATGGGAAGCCCACATTGGAACACTGTTCCTGTGTTCCTGAACAATTTGAGCCTCTGGGAGGGACCTCAAACAGGAAAGAGCGGCAGAGACAAACTGACTGGTACCCCCATTCCCTGTCCCCTGTGCCGCTGTAGGGGAGAAGGCAGAGAAATTGAAAGCAAAATAATTTGATCTTAGGAAGAAGGGACGGGTGGGGGGAAGGTGTTTTAAGATGTGGTGGTTATGTCTCACTGTCCTACTCTGACTAATTGGTAACAAATTAAATTGATTGGGTTTTTTTTCTTTCCCCAAGTGAAGTTTATTTCGCCCATGACCATAATTGGTGACTGAGCTCTCCCTGTCCTCATTGCAACCCATGAGCCCTTTGTTGTGTTTCTTTCCCCATCGCACCATCTTGAGGGGAGTGACTGAAGTACCGTATGGTCTTAGCTGTGGCCGAAATGACCACAGAGATGTAAAAGTCTTTTCTCCCTTCCCCTCAGAAGAAATAGGGGGAGAAGAAATTCCCTTCCCCCTACAGAAAAATTATAATTAAAGTCTTTTAAAATTATCAGCATTTTGTGATGTGCCCTGTAGAGTGCAGTTGATTTGGTGCTTAAATATTAGAATCTAGTCTGATCAGTAAGTCTTAAATTCTCTTATAAACTACTATTTTCTAACAAATTATGCCTAGAAAGCAAAAACAAACCAGTCTCTTTCTGGAAAGCTTGGGGAAACACCCTGTATTTTCACTGTTAGTGCAGAGCATGTGAATCAAGAATCCTATCTGCTGTACGTGTTTTTTGCCTAAGTGATGGGAGAAAAGAACATACTTTGGTTTTGTTTCCACACTGCAGAAAGAGATCATGGGAACACAGTGACATAGACATGGAGAGCAACTGACACGGAAAATGACTGCTGCCTGCACCTCTAGAAGAATAATTATTAACTTGACCAGCATATTGACTTTTCAGGAGGAAATTCGTAATCAGGTGCATTCAAGTAAACAAGCATTTTGCTACCTAAGATTTTGTTATTCCACTAACTAAATATAATTGCTTAGACTACTGAGAGGGG